GTACAGGTGTCAGCGCCCTCTGGAACTCCGACTATCCTAACGTTATTGCTCCGTGACCTCGACTCCAAATCCTCACATTTATTCTCTAATTGAGTCACGGGTCGCGCAGAGACTTCGATAGTAGTCTTCATGTGAACTAAATCAACGGTGCAACCGGAGAGCGCGTGCCCCATTTCCCCCACAGTACCTTTCAGTGTTGATATGGTGGCCTCGGTAGTGACTTTATCACTAGCCTGCTGTGTTTTCATGACCTGCAGGTCATGCTGGATAGTAGACAGCGCATCCCTGAGAGTCTTCTGTTGATTCTCATGGTGAGTCTCCTGGTGCTTCAGATGATCCTGAAACTCCTGGAACTCCTTCCTAAAATTGGTGATGTCCTTCCTCAGTACAGCCAGCAACTCAAGCCTGAATGCGGCGAAGTCAGAGCCACCACTCGGGGACGCGGATGCGACCGCAGGTTCACAGGGGGAAGGGAGCGTGGCTACGGATTCATGAGGAGAAGGAGGCGCGGGTGCGGGTTCATGGTGAGAGGGAGACGCAGCTGCAGATTCACGACGAGAAGGAGACGCGCTCGCGGTGCGCTCTCTAGACCTCAATTTTGTTTGAATGCTACCACCGGTTTTCGAGTTCTTCCCCGACATCTTTAACAAACCACCGAGTTAAAAGTACAAATAAGGAATCGAAGTAGAATAAGTCAAAGTATACTATATATATATATATATATATATATATATATATATTCTGCTCGGCCGACCAACACCCGACGCCGCAAATTGGAGGTTCGCTCCCTTCCCGATAGCGCCCGCACGCGGGCGGGCAGCCTCGCCCGGTCCTAACGCTTACCGGAAGGGACGCCATGCCGGGAGGACCCACTGATGCCGTATCGTCCGGGGATTGGAGGATCGGACGGAGGAAGTCCACCACTCTCTACCCGGATGGGGAAAATAAAAGGACGCCCTTCCGCCCGGAGGGGGAGTACCGACTTACTGAAACGGTCCGGCCCCGAACGCATCCGCGCCCAGGTATTCACCCGGTACTCCCTTTTTTTAAAGCTGGCTAATCGCTCTCTCTCTCTCTCCCCCTGTATATACTTCGGCGAAAGGCTCCGACCGACAAAGGGACGGCGCCGCCGGGACGGCACGCGCAGCACTGAGGGACGACTCAAGAACCCCGAGGCTTCTTCCGGGATTCCCCCGACACGCCCCCCACGCAGCATCACGGGGCGCCGCCCGCCCCGCTGACCTACACACACACCCCCGGAACTACACTCTACCAAAACCCCGAATAAAGCCTGAGCCTTTACTCCACTCCCGCCTCCGTGTCTCTGTGCACGCCCTTTTCCCCGCTACACTGGTGGAGGATGCGGGCATGAGCACAGAACCGCCCCGCCCAAAAAAAAATAGAGGGAAAAAAATATATATTACCTTTTTCTTTATTTTTGTTTTTTTTTTCTCCTCAACAAGGAGAGAAAAATGGAGCAGACGTTACAGCAGCTGTTGCAGATCTGTCTACAGCAACAGGCCGTCACCCAGCAACTCACAAAAAACCTCCAGGCGGTGACAGAGACTCTGGTGGCGCTACAGTCCCGCGCGGCCTCCACCTCCTCCCGGACCCGGACGCGTGAGCTCTGCCGCCTTCCCCCCTGGCTCCTGATGACGACCCGGAGGCGTACTTTGAAACCTTTGAAACCATTGCCCGCCGCGAGGGATGGGATAAGGACGACTGGCCCGGCGCCGTGAGGTCCCCTGCCTTCACAGGAGAGGCCCGCGAGGCCTATTACAGTCTTGAGCCGGGAGGACGGGCGGACTACGTCACTATGAAGGAGGGCGTCCTGGCGTTTTGCGGCCGAGCTTTCCAAGCGGCCGCCGAAGTTTCATCGCTGGGTCTATCGGCCGGGCGGCCCGCCGGCAGCTAAACGCCCTCATCCGCCTCAAAAAGGTGGCTCCGGCCAGACCAGCATACGGCCCTCGAGGTGGCGGAAGAGGTGGCGATGGACCGGTTCCTGAGGGCGTTACCAGGATGGCACGGCAGGCCGTGGGGTCCAGACCGCAACGCCCCAGGAACTCCTAACGGCCCTGAGCGCACCACCGCCACCCTCGGAGCCCGACGACGGGACCCACAGCCCTCGGACCTACCCCGGGGGGCGTGGAGATCCGGTCTGACCGGCCACGCCCGCCGACACTTGGCGAACCCGCCGGAGGTCGGCCGCCCAAGTAGCTCCCACGGACGAGCCCATGCCCACGGAGCCGGAACTGGGGCCTCCCGGACCGACCCAGAAACCGTGGCTGGCCGGCTGCGCCCTCCATGCGCGACAGTGGCCGGAGGGGCTCACCCAGAAGGTGTGGATTGCAGGGAGGCCGATCACCGCACTGCTGGACACCGGGAGCACGGTGACCCTCGCCCGACCGTCCGTCCTCCCCAGGGGACTCCGGCAAGGGGGAAGCCTCACTGTAACCTGCGTTCATGGGGACACCCGGGAAGTCCCGACAGCAGAGGTGGCGATCAAGAGCGGTACCGGGAGCTGGTCTCTCCACGTGGGCGTGATCCCTGACCTCCCCGTACCGTTACTCCTGGGGAGGGACTGGCCAGGAGGCCTGCCGGGCCGGGACGCCGGGAGAGGGAAGCCACGACGTCGGAAGCGGAGGACCGGGGCCCGGACCGCTTACCTGGCCCAGGACAACGGGGACGCCACTCCCGGTGACTTCTGTTGCCGGGTCCAACACCGGGGGGGGACCCTACATGGGAATGCAGACGGGCTCTCACGACGGAACACGCTCTGGGCCCCCTCTCAGCGGCAGTAGGCTCGAGCTGAGGGGGTACTGTCGCGGCGGACCAACACCGCCCGCGAAGTGCGGAGGTTCGCTCCCTTCCCCGACCGCCCCGCACGCGGCGGGCAGCCTCGCGCCGGTCCTAACGCTTACCGGAAGGGGACGCCATGCCGGGAGGACCCACTGATGCCGTACCGTCCGGGATTGGAGGATCGGACGCGGAGGGAGTCCACCACTTTCTACCCGGATGGGGAAAAATAAAAGGACGCCCTTCCGCCCGGGAGGGGAGTACCGACTTACTGACGGTCCGCGTCCGAACGCCATCCGCGCCCAGGTATTCACCCGTACTCCTTTTTTTTAAAGCTGGCTAATCGCTCTCTCTCTCTCTCTTCCCTGTATATACCGGTTGGAAGGCTCCGACGCACGGACAGGGCCGGCGCGACGAGCGACGCGCGCAGCACTGAGGGACGACTCAAGAACCCCGAGGCTTCTTCGGGATTCCCCCGACACGCCCCCAAGCATCACGGCTCCGCCCGGCCCCGCTGACCTACACACACACCCCGGAACTACACTCTACCAAAACCCCGAATAAAGCCTGAGCCTTTACTCCACTCCGCTCCGTGTCTCTGTGCATCGCCCTTTTTCCCGCCCC